AAATATCCCTTGGCTTGTTGTGCTTGTTATTTCGGTTGTACTAGGGGACAAGGGGGGGACAATGTTTGTGGGATGTTGGGTGATGAAATATGGTTGTTTGGCTTGGTGTGTTTCGGCCCTAGCTTAGGGAAATGAAAAGGAAATTGACTTATGGTTTTTTCTTTTGGCACAAAACGTGTTATTTTGATGGAGTGATTCAAGTAGGGAGTGGGGTAGTCTGGGCAGGGTATACGGCTCTTTTAGGATGGAGATAGGCTCAAGGTTGTCAGGGTTAAGTAATATGGTTTGGGGTTGGAGAATTCATTCCAGAAAGGATCGTAACACTTAGACATGATTCCACTGATTTGTTTAAGGATTTGAGGATCAGGTGTAGTACTAGGGGATACAACATCCTCCCTTTCTTCAGAAGAGTTTGACCTCAAACTCGGAATTTCTTCAGGATCAAAATATGGACTGAGATCTTTCACGTTAAATGTAGCCGAGACTCCATAATCTCCCGGAAGGTTGATCTTGTAAGCATTCTCATTGATTTTCTCTACTACTTCGAACGGACCATCAACTCTTGGCATTAACTTGGACTTGCGTTTTGTTGGAAAACGTTCTTTTCTGAGATGAATCCATACTAAATCTCCAGGCTGGAAACTCGTGAGCCTTCTTCCTTTGTTGATGCGTGCACTTACCTTTTCATTCATCGCCTCAATCTTCTCTCGAACCTTCCCGTGCAGTTCTTGAATCTCCTTGGATCGTTTGTCAGCTTCCCAACTATATTGTCCTTTTCCCATGATAGGGTCAAGCTCAAGTGGGGTGAGGGGGTTCGAGCCATACACAACCATAAACGGGGATACTCCAGTTGTTTTGTTTGGGGTCCTGTTGTAAGCGAACTCAGCATGCGGTAAAAGCTCTTCCCATTGCTTGATGGTTTTCTTGATTAGTACCCGGAGAAGGGTTCCAAGCGTCCGGTTTGTAACTTCCGTTTGACCATCTGTTTGCGGGTGGCTTGATGTGCTGAACTTGAGTTTCGTGCCTAGCTTCCGCCAAAGGGTCATCCAAAAATGACTTAAGAACTTCGGATCCCGATCAGAGACCATGCTTCGGGGAACGCCATGTAGTTTAACTATCTCTCTGAAATAGAGATCAGCCACTTG